AGTCTCTCCCTTTCAAACGACTGTTTCTCATTTCACCTCCTAGAAATCAGCTAGTACCTTGATCTTCAAGTGCTTCTACTTAAAAGTACTTGATACCCTAAAGATGACTTGAAGAAGAGTTGGATAATCCTGAGACTTGGGGAGTAGGCTCGAAGCAACACTGGAGCTCACTTCCTCAAAGCCCAGGAGGCCTTACACTACAGTGGCCACTCGGCTTCAGTGGCTGGGTGTGTTTTTTAAAATGTAAATTGAATGGCCGCATCAAAGCCTTCAGTGTGTAAGTACGCCTTTGCTCGCACTAGCTAGACTACAACAGAAAACCACTTCGCCTGCGGGAACTGGGAGTGGGGGAAGAGAAAAGCCTTTTTTTGTGGTGTGCCTTGGGTTTTTGTTTGTTTTAAAAACAATACGGCAGGAAAATGTATTACCTATTTAAAATATACCCAGAGATGTGAACTAGAAGGATTGTTCTCAGAGGTCAAGAGGTCGTTAATTTATTCAAGTAAAGATTACAAATTCAGGGATTCCCTTAACTTGCTCCCACTTTCCTAACTATGTCTAGGTTATTAATGCATTCTTGAAAACACTACATTTTTTGTTTTTAATGTTTAATACATTTTTCTTCCCCATAACTGAGGCACTTCTTCTGCTCAAATATTGCCAGAACTGTTAAGATCATCTATGGCTGGGATGGGCCATAATTGTTTTTGTGTTACCAATTTATTGCATGATCTTGGATAAGATATACTCGCTCTCTTTGCCTTAATTTCTTCATCTGTAACATGCATGCGAACTAGCCGATCTGGGCCCGTCCCTGGGAGTCTTTTCACCGGCTCACTCTGCACTCTAAAAGAAGGACTTCTTTTCCTATCTTTGGCTTACACTCACTTTGTAGGGCTACTCTTTTTTTTTTTTTTTTTTTTAAATGAATGTAAGATTTCGCTTAAAAAAGGAAAAGAAAATCTCTTAGGTCCCTTCTAGTAATAAAAACTTTATTCCTTCACTCTGCTTTCTCTTACAGGATGTCTCATAGGACACTTGTCATGAATTCTGTCATAAAGCCCCTATGACCTAAACAAATACCTGAGAGGTTCGATTGGGGGTAATTAATGATTTATTTTACATATCAGTTAATAAAGCATGTTCATGATAGACACATTCGGTGCCCTCACCAATACAGAGCAGGGATTCTTGACTTTACAGGTGAGGAAACAGGCTCAGGGAAGTCAATTTAGCACCTTAGGCCTTGTGGTGGAGGTGTTAAGTTTGTAAATGAATATTTTTTCTAAGACAATGGTGTATTTAAAATGTTTTGACACAAAGATTAGTGTTTTGAAAACAGTGGATTCTTTTCTAAACATTTAGAAGTCCTTATTCTCTTTCTTTCTTTTATTTTTTTCTTTTCTTTTCTTTTCTTTTTTTTTTTTGTGGTACCAGGGATTGAACTCAGGACCCTGAACTTGCCAGGCAAGCGCTTATTCTACTGAGCTATCTCCCCGGCATAGAGATCCTTATTCTCTTGGCAGGTCATTCTAAAACCATAAAGAACTGACCTATAGTAGTGTGTATTACAGATTAGGGGAAATAATAGCCAGAAGGGGGCTAGCATCCTTTCAGATAAGTGACTGAGAAAACGCTTCTGCACACAGGAGGAGCCCTGGCGTCCACCATTTGTTTCCCCATAGACCATCCAACTTATGTCTCAGTGATAAAGCCCCAAATACCATATTGTCTCTTTAAAAAAATATTAAAAGTTATCATGATAGTGAGCCTTCAAATATACAGTTTATGCCAACCAACATTAAAGAAACATCCATGCACTTTATACATGTTTGATCTAAAACTTAAAAGAACAACTGTATTTTAAATTCTTTATTTTTAAAATTCTTTATTGTGAGACAAGGCCTTCCTAAACTGCCCAGGCTGGCCTCAAACTTTTTTATCTTTTTAATCTTCTGGCTTTTTAATCTTCTAGCTTCAGTCTCCTCAACAGCTAGGATTATAAGTGTGTTATATCATTTTATAATTTTTTTTTACTATTTGTATATATAGGATACATATATGTTTTTAAATATAAAATATTCAGGGATCGAGGACTTAGCTTGGTGATAGAGGGCTTGCTTAGCCAGCACAAGGTCCTGGGTTTGGTCCTCTGTCACCAAAAAAGTAAAAATAAAAATGAGTCAAAATTTTGTAAGTGGAAAACGTCAATTTTAATGGCCTTTTTGTATTTTCTCTATTCTGGGTTTATTGCATCCATTTACTTTTACTGCGTTCTCTAGTTTTTACATCTGTTTCACCAGAAGTACATAACGTGTAAAACCTGCTTTCAAATATTGTATGGTGTGAAATGTTCTCATTTTTACATCCTCTACCAGTACTCCTGGAAAACAAACAGTAAGAAAGATTACGTCTACGGACTTTAAAATCCATATGCTTTTAGGTAGTGGACAGGTAGCTCCATCAGGACGCAAGAGACAGAATGATGATTTGTAAGGATTTCCCCAGTTTTTACATTCCTTGATTCTATCACCACTCTTGGTAGAATATAGGTTTCTTCCTACGAATCAAGCAAGAAGTGTACACAAATCATGTATGGATCTTAGTAAAACAGCGTTTTCAGGATGACCGCTAGCATTGGGTTTAGATGGGTGGTGAGAATGAATGCCTATTTTCTTGGCTCCTGGATATGCCATGGGGTTGATATCTTATGTTCTTTGGTAACTGAAGCTCACACTGTTGCCATGGAAAATGAGGGCCACTTGAGTGGACAATTTGAAGTGGCTCCAGGAACTGTGGCTAGGGTTGTCTCCTCAGAGTACAAGATCCTGTATGTATGGGACAGTTACATTTGGATGGCACACATTTCTTCAGTTCCCCTCAAATTAAAGGACAAAACAGGCACGAAACTAAGTTATAATTTGATGGTTTCCAATCAATTTGGGCAAAATGCTCAACAAGGAACAGTTCAGAATTACTAAATATCCTAGAAATACTATTGAACATTTTTACAGTAGCAAAAGAACATGTAGCAGTCCCTGAACTTTCCAGCCGATTTCTACAAAATCAAAATCAACTTTATATCGCATGTAAACTGGTACAAAAAATCCTCAATCCCGTCAAATTCAGTGGTGTATGTTTTATTCCCAGCGATTTCCCATACTTGCAAGCTCTGCTACCACGTTTTACCTGTCATGAAATCTTATTATGTTATAAAACCACATCACTTTCTTTAAAAAGTGAATGGAAGAATCTAATATTGTAAAATGGCACGTGCCCAGTGCCCCAACAGAAAACTCCTACTTTGGGATTTTTCTCACAGGCATGACCTCTGCTTCTCGCAGGTAAACTGCCAGAGGGAGAGAAGCAAGTGTCAGCCCAATGGAAACCCTGTTGGATTTCCTTTCTCTCATTAAACCGATCGCCTTTTAGGAAGAATTCCCACGGTATTCTCTAGTTCAAAATCCTTGC